GCAAGCAGAGCATGTGCAAACACATGGCCCCGCCCGGCATGCCGCCTGCAGCGCCATGTCACCACGCCGCGGCAGCATTTTTATCTGAACACCGCGGCAGCCCTATGAAACTGATCGACGCTCCACCTCGCCTGTCCTACCATTTCACACAGGCGCCGCTCGGCGATCGCGTCGCTGGGAGTCCGCAGCAAGGATGGCGGCCCGGGGGCCCGCCGATGGGCGCGGCATGGACCTGGATGACGACGATATCGATGAACTGAGGCGAGGCCCCCCGCAGCGCCTCCACGCCGCTGGCATGTCCGCCGCTGCCGCCACTCGCCGCCACCCTGCCACCGCCCCTGCTCACATCGGCTCTTCGCTCATGCTGCAGGGCCGACGAGCAGGCCCGCGGGCAGAACGCCTTTGAACGGGAGTATGAAGATGACCACTCCTGGGAGGAGCTGGAGGAGGATGAGTTTGGGAACCTGCGGGCGCCGGTGAGCAGGCTGCCGCAGGTTGGCAGAGGGCGGTGGCTTGGCAGCAGGGCTTGGCGGCGGCTGCCTCATGGGTATTGGTGCTGCTGCTGCTACTGCTGCACGGCGTGGAGGCTGACCGACTCGCACCCGATGGCAGGCCGTTGCGTTGCATTGCGGCAGGCCGCTGCTGCTGGACCAGTGCATGTGGTACCACCCAGCGCCGCCCGCTGCTGCCGCGTGACCCTGGCTGCCCCTGCCGCGTGCAGGACCGCTTCGAGGAGCTGCGCGCGCGGCGGCGGCGCCTGCTGAGCGCGGCGCAGAGCGCGCGCATCCGCCGCGGCATGATCCGCTATGTGCAGGTGGTGCTTGACCTGTCGCGGGCGGCCTCGCTGTCAGGTGGGCAGGAGGCGGGGAGGAGCGAGAGAGGAAGCAGGGGTCGGGTGGAGAGGGGTGGCAGGAAGGAAGGAATGAGCGAGGAGAGGAACTGGAAGCAGAGCAAACAAGGCACTCAACCGCTGCTGCCGTGCCTGGCACCTCTGCCTTCACGCCCCACCCACCACGCCCTGCCTGCCCGCTCCTACCTCGCCGCCGTGCCGCAGACATGCGCCCCGTGCGTGCCGCCGTCATGTCGGGCGTGCTGCAGCAGTTTGTGCGCACCTTCTTCGACGAGAACCCGCTGAGCCAGCTGGGCGTGCTGGTGGCGCGCAACGGCGTGGCGGAGCGCCTGTCTGACCTGTCGTCCAGCCCGGTGAGGCGCTGGCAGCAGGGTGGGGCAGGGAGGCGCATGTTGGGGCAGGGAGGCACGTGTTGGGGCTGGAATCGGGATGGGGTGGGGCCTGGCGGGATGCGGACGGGATGAAAGATGGGCTGGCTGGCTGGCTGGCTGTCGCGGGAGCAGGCGGCGCAGGGCGGGGCCCTTGCCCAGCACAACCACAGCGCGCTTGCCGGCGCCCCCCGCCCCAACGGCCGCTCCCGCTGCAACGCCTGCCTGGCTGCCCTGCCCCGCAGGAGGCCCACATCGCCAAGCTGCGCGCCGGCCTGGACACGGGCGGCGACGCCTCGCTGCAAAACGCGCTGGACCTGGCGGTGGACTCCCTGCGCAGCATACCGCCCTATGGCAGCAGGTGGGGCAAGGCAGGGAGGGGCAGCTGGAGGCGGGGCACGTGACGGCGGCAGACAGCGCAGCGTCAGCAGCAGCCGGGCGCGTGCTCGAGGCCACCTTCTTGCCTGCCTGACTGCCCTGCCCGCATTCCCCCCATGAGCGACGCCAGCACACCCCCCACGCGCATCCACATCCACACCCTAGCCACCCAGCGCTCACCGACCTGCCTGCCCGCCGCCTGCCTCGCTCCCTGCAGGGAGGTGGTCATTATGCTGGCGGCGCTGAGCACCTGCGACCCAGGAGACATCAACCGGAGCATCCGGGACGCCAAGCAGCACCGCGTGCGCGTGTCGGGTGCGCCGCCGCGCCGGCCTGCCCAGCTGCCTGCCCGCCGGCCTGCCCGCCTGCCGAGGGTGCCTGGCTACTGAGCAAGCAGCAGCAGCAGCAGCGGCAGCACTCTTGCCAAGAGAGGCATGAGCCCTGGAGATGTGCTGCTGCACAATGTCCAATGCCACATCCTCACCTTCTTACTCTTCCGTGCCTGCCCTGCCTGCCTGCCTGCCTGCCCTGCCTGCCCTGCCTGCCTGCCCGCAGTGGTGGGCCTGGCTGCTGAGATGTTCATCTGCCGCCGCATGGCCGAGCAGACGGGCGGCACATACACAGGCAAGCAGCGGGGCAAGTCAGGGGTGGGCAGGGAGCAGGCCTGGGGATCGGCAGAGCCTGTGAGGCGGTGACTGCATCTGCATGGAGCTCCTGGGACTCACATCAACCGGGGAACCTGGCAGGCCCTTGCCTCTCGCCAGCCCCGTTCCTTGCCTGGCGCAGCCACAATGCCGCGCCTGTGTCCTGCCACTTGCCTGCTCATCGGCCCTTTGCTGCCTGTGCTGTTGCTGCAGTGGCCACGGGGGAAGGGCACCTGCAGGAGCTGATGCTGGCGCATGCGGTGCCGCCGCCGGCCCCTCCAGGCTCCAGCACCGTCAGCCTCGTGCGCATGGGCTTCCCTTCCAAGAACCCCGAGGCCCCCGGTACAGCCGCCTTTTGCGGTGAGGCGCAGGGGGTGGCGGTCTGTCAGCGAAGGTGGCGGCTGTTGTTCGGTTGGGAAGGCCGGCGGCAGGCAGGGGTGGGCACAGGCCGCGTGTGGGCGCCCGCTGCTCTCCCTTGGCGGGGGTGCTCTGGCCGAGGGCTGCCTTGGCCGCTGCGCCTGCCCGGCCGCCCTCTGTGCTGCAGGCGCGGAGTGCCTGCTGCAGCCGGGGGCCTACACCTGCCCCAAGTGCAAGGCGCGGGTGGCGGAGCTTCCCAGCCAGTGCCACGTGTGCGGGCTGTCGCTGGTGGCCTCCCAGCACCTGGCCCGCTCCTACCACCACCTCTTCCCGGTCAATCCCTTTGGCGAGGTGGCAAAGGAGGAGCTGGAGGGAGCCACGGTGAGGCGGGCTGATGGGCTACCCTTGGGCTCAGCCTGGCTGGAGGTTGGCTCGGCGGGGAGGCGGCGGCAATGCAACGGCTGCCCTGTGTAACCATTGCATTCTCTGGATTGAGGCAGCCTGCTGCACGGTTTGCATTTGGCGGAGCGTGTCTCAGCAGGACTTGACTGCCGGTTGCTGTCCCTGCGGTTCCTGCTGCAGGGCTGCGGCGGGCGGCAGCCCGACCTGGCGCCGGCGTTTGTGGCGGGCCTGGCCTACTGCTGTGCCTGCTACCAGCCCCTGGGGCAGAAGGCCGGCAGCTCAGGCGGCAGCAGAGCCCGAGCGGCGGCGGCGGCGGCAGCGGCGGCGGCGGCAGCGGGAGCGCCGCCAGGCGGCGGCATCGTGATGCGGTGCCCCGACTGCCGCCACCTGTACTGCTTCGACTGCGACGCGTACATCCACGAGCAGCTGCACGTCTGCCCCGGCTGCGAGCTGCTGCCGCCCTCCCTAGCCGCCGCAGCCGCAGCCGACGGGGGCGGGTGAGACGCAACACTGGTTGGCTCTGGTTGCCCACGCGCATTCATTTACATGTGATTCTATCTGGAAGGGCAGCTGTAACACAGTGGTCATTCAAAACCATCAAGCTCGGCCCCAGGGGCAGCCACGCAGATGAAGTCGCCGGGTGCTGACCATGTTGACGGGTTCTGAGGGAGTTTTTGGCACATGGGTGTGGGGCAGCCCCTGCCTGCCTTGAACAGCACTTCAGCAATCAGCTGCATGGTGCGCACGCTAACTGCACCCAGGGCAACCATGCAGCTCTTGGCTTGCGCAGCATCCTGGGTCAGTAGCGTCTCCACAATAGGCGTCACACACTGTGCCACCACGCGCCTCATCTGCAGCCTGTCTGCCAGCAGCAGCCAGGCCAGCCAATCCGCATCCTCCGGCAGCCGCGACGCGAAGAAGACATCACACATCTGCAGTCAGTGATGGGCGGGTTTCAAAGCATTTAGCTGTTTCCCGTATGGGACAGCAACACCGGGTATTTGCTGCTTGCCTCGATGGCCGATGGCGCATCCAGCTTGTCGCCAAGCACCAAAAGGTTTTGCCAGGCATTGGGGGACTCTCCAACATGGGGTTCGCTTGCTTCTAGTAGAGAAGGGTCATAGAGAAGCTTCAGAAAGATCTGCACATCTGCTAGCCCAAAGCCGTCAAACGCCCGCAGCACTGCCGCCGCCCGCGAGGCCGCCGCAGCAGGGCTGGCCGTGCTGCTGGCGTCGGCGCAGCCGCAGAGCGCGTGGCGCAGCACCCGGCTGCCGCTGGCGAGCACTTGGCTGTGAAGCTTCAGGGGCACGCCCTCCACCACCTCAAGGTCTGCAGCGGCGGCCAGCTCTTCGGAGCAGTCTGGCAGGTGGACTCTGCCCGAGGTCGTGTCTGCATCCTGCTTTCGCTTTTTGCTCTTGCTGGCCATTACTGTGTCCAACAAGGGTTTGGGGCCACTCTGCAGCCAAATATGCCCAGCGCAAGCCCTCACAAGGTTGGGGAGACACGTCCAAGGCACAGATGGGCAACGAATGGGCCGGCTGACGAGGCGCCCACGAGGCGGTGTGCGGCGGGAGGCGAGGGTGTGCGGCGGGAGGCGAGGGTGTGCGGCGGGAGGCGAGGGGTCACCGATCAGCGTGTTGAGTTGGCCCCCCGATTGCCAACCTGTTTTCGTTGAAAAGGCCTAGGGTGCAACCATGTCACGGTTACAACTACCATTAGCGCAATCATCCACGAGCGGCCTGCTGGTCTGCTGCTGCAGCGCCACCACGCTCTCAACTCCTCTTCAACTTCACCTCAGCTCCAGATGTCCCGCACGTACCGCCCCTGCCGCGTCATCTCCGCCAGCTGCTCCGCTGCCTCCACCTCTGCAGGGTGTGGAAAGGGACGGGATGGCAGGCACGCCAGGCTGGAGCAACACGGATGGCGGCAGCGCGAGCAGCGTGGCTGCTGCGTCGCTGCAGCCACAGCATAAGCAAGCACCCCATCTGGCAGCGCACCTGTGAGGCCCCCCTGCTGCTGCAGGATGGAAGCCAGGCAGGCGTGCACGTCTCTGGCCATGCCGGCGCCGTCGCCGCACAGATACACCCTTGCGCCCTGCCTGCGAGGGAAGGAAAGCAGGAGCAGGCGGGTGGCGGGAGCGGCTCGGGAGATGCAGCCAGCGGCAACACGGCTGCGCCACAGCCTGCCCTGTACCCTGTGCCCCTGCACTCTCAGCAGCATAGACCAGAAGCAGCGGGATGCCCGCATGCAACAGCTGTGTGGTCCCACTATGCCCTCAACCGTGCATCACCGCGCATCCATCTCCCAGGGAACATGCGGAGACCTGTTGACCAGCGCATCCTGTGGCCAGTGGTGCATCCAGGCCGCAGCCGGCCTCACCTGGCGATCATGTCGTGCAGCTCTGCGGCGTGCTGCTGCATCAGGTGCTGCACGTACACCTTGTGGGCCTGGGCGCGGGAGAAGGCGACGTGCAGGCGGTCGAGCGTGCCGTCGGCTTGGAAGCCCTGCAGGCGAGCAGGAGGGGGGGCAGCCGGGAAGGAGGGCTCTGCTTAGCAGCAGGCGGCGGGCAGGTGATGTGGCGTGCAGGCAGGCATGGCCCTGAGCTGACGCTGCATCAACGCGGCGCTGCAAATTGCAGTACAAGCGGTACATACCTCCAGGTCCTCGCGGTACAGGTAGTCCTGGTCCTCCCGCCGGCACCCGAAGTACAGCCAGGCGGGGCCCTTTGTACTGCTCGTACCGCCGGCCACGCAGCCCCCTGCGGCAGCAGCCGCCACCTGGGCGCGACGGTGCTGCAGGAAGCCGCGAAAGGGGGTCACGCCGGTGCCCGGCCCAATCATGATAAGGGGCGTCTCCAGGCTGTCAGGCGGCCCAAAGGCGCCGCCGCGGCGCAGGAAGATGGGCAGGCGCAGGGCGGCGGCTGCCGCGGGCTGGGCGCCGGCTGCGATGGCCTCGCACAGCCCGTGAAGCCAGGTGGTAGCCACGCCCTGGTGCTGGCCGTACTGCTCGGTACTGTACCGCACCACAGTGAAGGCAACTTGCACCTGCAAGGGCACAGCAGTAGCGGGCAGCAGATTGGGATGGGTTGGCAGCGGAGGGCAAATGGCAGCCATGAGCGAGCCCCCCCCAAAACACCGCCGCCATCAGCAAACAGCTGCCTCCAGGGCCCTCTCCACCCAACCACAAGGCCGGAGGCAAGGGGCGCACCTTGTCTGGGCACTCGAGGGGTGAGCAGCTCAGAGAGTACATGCGGGGCGCCAGCGGCGGCAGCGCATCGAGCAGCGCGTCCAGCGGCGGCCGGCAGGAGGGGAACTGTCGCAGCAGCTGCAGCAGCGAGGGCCGCCCTGCCACCATCTGGCGGCCGTAGTCGTCGCGGCCGTCGCGGGAGCAGAGACGCAGCAGCGCGGCGCGCTCCCCCGCCTCGCCGCAGTGCTCGGCCAGCAGGCGCAGCAGCGACTTGCGGGGCGGACCGGTGAGGTCCACGCCGCCGGTCAGCGCGGCGCGCACGCTGCAGGGGGCGCGCAGGTGCGGCAGCAGGTGCTCCCCGCCGCCCGTCTGCTGCTGCGCGGCGTCGGCGCCGTCGGCGCCGCCGTCGGCGCCTGCTGAGTCAGCAGCGCCAGCTGGCGCCACATCAAACACCGCCTCCCCGTCCAGCTCCAGCCGCCGCAGCAGCGCCTCCACCAGCGCCGGGTCGTTCCGGGGCAGCACGCCCACAGAGTCGCCCGGCGCGTAGCGCATGCCGCTGCCGGCGATGTCCAGCTCCAAGTGCAGCACCTGCAGGGCGGCCCGGGCAGCAGGGTGGGTGGGCGTCGAGCGAAAGAAGGGAGGGAGGAGAAGTGGCAGCAACAGCGGGCGGCACGCCACAGGCCGCTGTTCAGCACCACCTCTGCTCAGTGCATTCCTTCCTCCTATAAGTATGCCTGTCTGCACCGCAAGCCCCCTGCCACCACCATCTGTCTCTCCAAGACACACACACACACACACACACACACACACACACACACACACCTGTCGGTCCTCCCCAGATGCCTCTGTGGTGAGGTAGCGGGCGTCGGTGACGGGGGCCCAGAAGGGCTGCTCCAAGCTGTACTGCCCGTCTGGGTCGCGGTACGCCAGCTCGGCGCCACCTGGCGCGCCCGCCTCGGAGGGACGCGCCGCTGCCGCGCCGCCGTCCCCGCTCTCACGCCACACCAGCCGCACGCGGCAGCGCGGCAGCGGCGGCACGCCCGCCATCTCCTCGCCCGCGGCGGCGGCGCCGTTGGCGGCCGGCGCCGCGGCCGGCTCCACGGCGGCGCCTTCGGGCTGCACCGCCTTGCGCAGCGCAGGCCACAGCCCCTCCAACCACTTGTCTACCCCCTCCTCAATGCCGTCAACCTCATCTGCCTCTCCCACGGGATAGAACTGCAAGCACATCCGGCATGCGCGGCAGGAAGGAGGGCCTGTCACAGCGGGGCCGGCACGGAAACAGCAGCGGCGCGCGAAGCTGGACCCTGCGAAGCCGTCCCAACCCGCCAGCTGCCACGCAAACACACACACACACACACACACACACACACACACACACACACACAGCGCAACACACCCCATCCTACCACACCACAACCTCCCACCTGCGCAGCCCCCAGGTCCAGCAGGCGCTGCTTAATGGCGCGAGGCACATACTGGTAGCGCGTGTAGTTACTGTCGCCCAGCCCAAAGCCGGTGAAGGCGATGCCGGCCAGCAGGCCGCCGGGCTGGGACTTGCGGCGCAGGGTGGCGTAGAACCTGCCCGGGGGAGAGGGGCAGCCGGAGTTTGGGGAGAGGGAGAGCGGGAGCCGGCAGGCGGGCAGGCAGGGCAGCAGGGGGCAGGGCAGGAGGAGGAGGCAGCGGGCGGGGCAAGGGGAGGCGATGCAGGGAGGGCGGGCCGAGTCGCGGGGCACTTCCACGGCCCAGCACATTGGCGGGGCGGGCAGGACAGGGGCTCGGCAGCCGACGCACCAGCTCGACAGGCTGGCCAGGGTGGCTGGCTGGCTGGCAGGCCCAGGAGGGCAGGCAGGCAGGCGCAGGCCCGGGCAGGCAGGCAGGCAGGCAGGCAGGCGGGCGGGCGGGCCCTAAACCCTAAATCGGGCCGCTCCCTCACTTGGCGGAGTTGTCTGGGGCGTCCCCGTCGCCGGTGGAGCTTGCCACGTAGATCAGCACAGGGGGGTGTGCCGCGGTGAGGCTGTCAAACCCAAATTCATTCATGGAGGCCACCTGCAGAAGGGAGGTGGCGGTGTGTGCATGATGGGTGGGCGGGTGGGTGGGTGTGGAGGGAGAGGGCGCAAGGATGGGCAGGCGGGCAGGCAGCAGGGCAAGCACACAGCACCCCCACGCACGACTGGCGGCTCTGCCGCGCTGGGAGGGCCGCCCCTGGCCCTGCCCCAATCCAGCAGGTGTCAGCGCACCCACCCTGCCCTGGATCCCCCGCTGCTCTGCCTCCGCCTGGATGTTCTTGGCAATCTCCTGGGCGGTACCGGTCTGGGAGGCGTACAGCACAACCAGCTGCTTGGCTGGCGGCGCCTTGGCGGGCGCCGGCTTGGCCGCCCGCTGCGCGCGCAGCCGAGCCAGGATGGCGGCGCCTCCCGTTGCGGGCGGTGGCCCCGCAGCGGCGACCGGCGGCGTCGCTGCAGAGGAGGGAGCTGCCGGCTTGGCTGCCTCCGGATGCGCGGCCGCGGTGCCGTTGGCAGCAGCAGAGGCTGGAGCTGGTGCCGCCGTGCTGCCATTGGCAGCGGCAGGGGCTGGCGAGGCGGCGGCAGCTGTTGCACGCTGGGCGCGCAGGCGAGCCAGAATGGCGGCGCCTCCCGCTGCGGGTGGTGGGGCGGCGTCAGTCTGCACCCATGCAGCAAGGGTCGGCGCGTGTGAGTAGCAACACTCTGGTGCTGGAATGGAAACGCCCAGGTGCGTTGGCGGCGGCGGCAGCAGGCGCGGCGGTAGCTGGCGGCGGCAGCAGGGCAAGCCTCCGCGAAGCCTCACCATTCTCAACTTATCCACCAGCAGGTATTCCTCTCAGCCAGGCAGGCCCGCGGGGTTGGCGATGCGGGAGGGAGAAAACTCACACGCAGGAAGCAGAACCAGGAGGCTGTCTGCAGTGTGCACTTGGTGGCCTGAGCGGCGGACAGTGATCGCAGCTTTGAAATGAAGTCCAGGGGCACAAATTGGGCCTCAAACGTGCTGTCGTGCTGGGCCTTGCGCCGTGCTAGGCGCCTTGAGTTCGCTCCCGCATAAGGAGCAGCAACCATCCCCAATCCATCGCTGCATCGTCGATCACGTCCTGTGCACACCAAACTCGCTCTTCCCCACTGCCGGTCCAAGGCGACCGAAGGTTCCCGCGATGGCGCTGTCGCAGGGCGACCTGCTGCGCAGCCAGAAGAAGCTGGATGAGCGCGGCAAGCAGAACCTGGAGAGGGCGCGGCAGAAGGCGGAGAAGGAGCGGCTGGTGGCGGAGCGGGCGGCGGCGCGGCAGGCGGCGCGCGAGGAAGAGGCACGGCAGAAGCGCCTGGCGCAGCTGGCCGCCGAGGAGGAGGTGCGCTGCTTGGCCTGTGCCAGATGTACTCGCAAGGCCGCGGCATGCATTGCAGGCGGCAGGGATGCCCGAGCGTGCAATCGGGCAAGTTGGGCGCCGCCACGCCGCTCCCAACCGCTTACCCTTGGCCACTGCGCCCCGGCCTGCCGCCAACAGGAGCGACGCCAGCATGCCGAGGAGGTGGAGGCCAACCTGGGCGTGTTTTTCCGAGCAGAACTTGTGGCGGTGCCGGCCCCAGAGTCGATCGCAGCTGACAAGGGCATCAAGCGGGCGGCAGACAAGGTGCATGGCCGCAGCACCACGTGTGCACCCGTTGCGTGTGCCCGGATCATCCCACACAGCGCTGCTGTCAGGCCACAGCCAGTCCGCAAGGGGCTCACGAGTGCTGCCACCGCTGGTGCTGATCCCATTGACACGCACCCGCCGCCACACCATCACACCCACACACTGCCTTACCCCACGCCTGCAGATCCTGCTGCCGCCCTCAGCGGGAGCCAGCCTGATGAGCCAGGATGCCTACAAGAACGGACCCATGTTCTTCCAGCTCACCAATGCAGCCGGCAACCGCACGCACGCCGGGCTGCTGGAGTTCTCTGCGGCAGAGGGCTTTGTGGCGCTGCCCCGCAAGGTGCGGCTGCTGCCGCCGCCGCCGCCGCCCTCGTCGCTTTGCATTTGGTGCTGTGATTGCCGCAGCCGCTCGTCTGCTGCGTCTCCATCGCAGGACGCGGTGTGCCTGCCAGCTCCAGCGGGCAGGCGCTGATGCGGCTGCCTCCCTCGCTGCCTGCATCCATGTGTGGCGCAGGTCATCTGCAGCCTGTGGGGCCCCGATGCAACAGAGGAGCACTGCGTGGGCAGGCTCAGGGTCGCATACCGGCGGCTGCCGAAGGGTAGGTGCTCACTGCATGCCCGCTCCGTCCTGCGCGCGTGCCTGCCACCGATCAACCTGCCGCAACTTGTCCGCCCCGCCCTGCGCTGCCCGGACCTTCTGTTTTAGCCTGCTGCTAGTCATCCTGCCGTGCCCGCCTGCGTGCCTGTGTCGCCTGCAGGCGAGCGGGCGGTGTTCCAGCCCCGCTCCGCTTCTTTCCAACAGGAGGTCGGCGAGGACATCCGGGGCGTGCTGGAGGGCGCGCTGCTGCAGCACTCGTGCCTGACGCGGGGCGACTGGCTGGCGGTACCGCACGGCGGCCAGCGGTACGATCTCCGCATCTGCGACCTGCACCCAGAGGCGGCGGTGTCTGTGATTGACACCGACCTGGAGGCGGAGATCAATCCTTCCATAGAGACGGAGGAGAGGATTCGGGAGGAGTATGAGGCGGCGACGCGGCGAGCGGCCGAGGCCGCGCTCGCGGCGGCGGCTGCGGTGGCGGAGGCCGAGGCTGAGGCGGCGGCGCAAGAGGAGGAGCGGCTGCGGCGGGAGGCGCTGCGGCGGGCCAAGGAGGCGGCGCTGCCGGCGGAGCCGTCGCCTGGCGCCGCCGAGCCCTGCGCTGCATGCCTCTTCCGCTTCCCGGATGGCAGCAGGCACAGCCGCCGCTTCCCGCTGGACAGCCCGCTGCAGGTGGGCAGCTGCCGAGGGGCTGTGTGCTCAGCGTGTGCAGGCAGCGCTGCATTTGGGCGGGCCGAGTGTGGCTTTTGCTGCTGTCTGGGGGGCCAGATTCCAGGGGGCCAGATTCCAAGACAAACTGCCGCTGACGCCACTCCACCCTCTACCCCGGCCGCCTCACCTCTTCATGTTGCCCTCCCACTGCCGCAGCTGCTGTTTGACTTTGTGGACTCGAAAGGAGCCAGCGGCATGCTGCCAGGCAGGTACAGCTTGGTGACGCAGTACCCGCGGCGAGTCTTCCTGCCCTCCCTGGCGGAGGCAGGCGCCGAGGCAGCAGCGGCAGAGCGGCAACTCACGCTGCATTCTGCGGGGCTGACAGGACCGCGGGAGGTGCTGTTCCTGGAGCAGCAGCACCAGCTGCAGCAGCAGCCGGGGATCGGCGATGCAGCCGGTGGCGGCAGCTAGCGAGCCCGGGGCACCTCCCAAAGTCTGCCCGCCTGCGCACTTGTGTTGTATCAAAGTTACACCTGTACAATCAGGCAGCTGTAAAACAGATCAAATGAATCCCCAGAGGTTGGCCCAGGAGGCTGACTTCTTCTTGCTCTTGAGAGCAAGAGGCTTCTTGCTGCCGCCGCTGCTGCCGCCGCCGCCGCCGCGCTGCGCCCCCTCCTTCTCCTTGGGCGGCAGGAACTTGACAGGGTGCTTGTTGTACACGGGCCAGTCGGGCACGCCCACCACGAAGGCCAGCAGCACTCCGCCGCCGAAGAGAGACATCATGCCGCGGAAGTCCTGCTGCAGGTACCCGTAGATGAAGCCGATCACGGAAAACAGGGAGACTATGAACATCGCCAGCGTCTCCGCCAGCTTCTGGCCTGCGAAGTCCATCGTTGTGGCCGGCGGAGAACCAACTGCGGCTGCTGAGCTCTTTCTCGGTTTTTGCGTGATAAAATCGCGTTCACAGCTTATCAGAATAACTCAATGCGCAGGGAGGCCGTCTCCAGCTGGCCGCCAGCGCGGCGCCGCCAGGTGCTCCGCCCTTCCTCAGCATGCAGCCCACTCGCTGCACACACAACTTGGTCCTCTTGACTGCAGTCGCTCGATAAAGTTTAATCCTTCTTGGGCGCCGCAGTGGGGGTGGCCACCATGAACAGACTGGTGCCTCCCTCGGCCTCGGACGCGCCGCCCTTGGTGGGGAAGGCGCACAGCTCTGGGTCCAGGCCCAGAGCGGCGGCCTGGCGGAGGCGGTCCGTGGCCAGCTGCAGCTGCCACCCGCAGGCCGCCAGGAACTGCAGGGAGGGAGCGGGGCGGCGGGGGAGAGGGTGACGCGGGCAGGCGGGCGTGCCCCCAATCCAAGCCACAACCGCCACAACAGTCGGCCCTCGGTCGGCACCGAACCACAGCCGTGGCTATCCAGGCCTGCCGCCAGCTCAGCTGCGCCCGCCTCACCTGGGTGGGATCTTCCGGGCAGCCAAACACCCACTGGTCCATGAGGGATGAGGCGACGCCGCTGCCCTTGCCCCGCGCGCGCAGCCTGTCGATCACCGCCAGCGTCACGCTCAGCCCGATGAACACGCTGCCCTCCTCAGACAGCTCTGCGGGGGCATGGAGGGAGGGAGGCAGGCAGATGGACGGGAGGTGGGCAGGCAGGCGGGCTGGTGGGTGGGTAGGTGCGAGCTTTGCGGTGCGGTGGCTCCTCTGCGTGGTGTGTGAGGGTTTGGTGGTGGTGCTGGGGCTACACGGCTCTGGTGCCCCAGCTGGAGGCCCAGCGCCTTGCGCCACACGCACCTGCCACCTTCCTGAGCATACCCTGCACCTTGCTTTCCTCCAGATACATCAGCAGGCCTGCGCAGCAGCAGGAGGCGAAAGGCAGGCACAGGCCAGGACGCGAGTGATGACCAGCTGCCCACTGCTCTGCAGACGGCTGCCGGTTTGAGGCCGAGCAGCAGCGCAATTGCCGACTTTAGGTTGATGATTGGCAGGCAGGCAGGCTCCAGCGCAGCTCCGGAGATGCGGCAGGGGCCTGCATCCCGGGGCGCGGCGGCGCTCACCCTCTGCCACCCACACCGTGGGCTTGCGCGGGTCGAAGCCCGCGCCCACCAGTGCCTCGCTCCAGGCCGGGTCCGAGAGGTCGCAGGCCACGGCGGCCCAGGAGCCGCAGCGCAGCGGGAACTGCACCTCGTCGATGCTGCAGGGCGGGGGCATGGAGGCATGCGCATGCGCGTGCAAGTGTGCTTGTGGGTGTATGTGGCATGTGTGTGTATGCATGCCTTGGGCCCCGTGGCACCTTCTGAGCCCGTGCGGCCGTGCCACACAAAACGCTGCCCAAGCCAGCCAGCTCGCGCACCTGGTGTGGCGGGCCAGCCCGCTGTCCACAAACTTGGGCGACATGGGCTCCTCCTGCGCCTCCACCCGCTCCTCCGGCTCGGGCACCTCTGCCGCCAGCTGGTGCAGCAGCGCGCGCTTGGCCCCCACCACATCGCCCTGGTCCAGCTCAAACCATGCCAGGTCTGCACGTGCAGGCAAAGTAGAGCGAGGGCGGCGGCGCTGGTGGTGACGAGGAGGGCGAGACGGGCGGCGGAGCGTGGGCCGGCAAGTGGCGGCAGCAGGAGCTGCATAAGAGCAAGCATGGCTCGTGGCCGGGGCAGGCCTGCGGCGCTGCACACAGACGGCAAGCCCGGCGCCAGCCGCCGTGCAGCCCACCTGCCGGCAGCTTCATGCGCCACGGCCGGCTGTCCATGCCCGTGCCGAGCATCACCAGCTGCCGCGGCTCGTGGCCGTCTGGGTGGGACCAGACGTACGATGGCAGATCCACGCGGGAGGGTGCGCTGGCGGCACGCAGCACGCCCGGGATGGTGGCTGCAGCAGGCAGGCGCCACGGGCGCGGGGTTGGGCTGGGGTTGGGTGGAGCGACAACCAAACGCACGACAGGCAGCCGCTGCCCCAGCGGGCCCGGCGCCAGCGACGCACCAGACACGGGCATGCCCAGGGCAGCCTCGATTTGGTCGTCGAACCAGCGCGTCCGGATGGCCATCTTGCCGACCTTGTACTTGCGCTCGCTGCCCTCGGGGGCCGCCTGCGCGCGCCTGCGGCTGCTGGCCAGCGCCTCCTGCCCCGCCATCCGGGCGGCCAGCGGGTCAAACACCAGCGCATGCTCCTCGGCCGCCTCCACCGCACGGGTGGCTGCGCCAGAGGAGCAAAGGGGGCAGGATCAGAGGCAGGTATGACGTTAGCGGCGCAGCATGGTGCCCGAACCTTGCCGAGGGCTAGGCTCAGGCCTCTCCATCCGAGGCGGCTTATTCGAGCGGCGGGCGTGGGACGGTGGGCGGAGCCGCAGGCGGCAGGGTGCCCGGGAGCAGGCGGATGTCCCTGCCGCGCTGATTTGATCTGCTGCCACGGTTGACGGCCCAACAGAGCACAGGAAGGTGGCCTATCCAGTGCACCCACCCGCAATCAACTTGCTGCTGAAGCTGATGACGCCGTTCAGGCCATCGTAGGCTTTCTTCGACAATCCGCCCAGCAACACCTTGAAGCTCAGCGCCAGGGCTGCGACGGCCGCCACTGCTGCCGACAGCCCCTTGGCGCCCATTCTTGCACGCTCACACTCGTTGCTAGTGCTTGTGACTGCTGCGATGGAGCGATCTGGATGCCCGGGGCGGTGTCGTGGCCGCATTCTGAAGGGGGGCCAGATGGCGGCGCCAGGCAGGCGTATATACATGGCTGGCGGCAAGTGGCTTGGAAGGGAAGTGCAAAGCTTGAGCTTCTTGGACGTGTGCCTTGGCCTCGGGACTGCTGCCTGCTCACGCGGAGACTTGAGTAATCTGGCAGCACCAGCGGTGCATGGCAGCTCGCGACAGGTCTCTCCAGCTCATGCGCATATGGGTCAGTCGGACAACAGAGGATTGAGTACAACATGTGCAGCGAATGGATATCACGAAAAGAGGGCCCCCAACACACAACCAGCGCCGCAGCTTGGTGAATTCACCAAGGCCAGCAGCGGTCCCAAAACAGGTGCGGGGTACACATCGCATCAGCAGCGACGTGCTGCGAGGAAACCAACTGGGAAGGCTTATGCAAAGTGCAGATGGAGAGGAGTAGAGAGGGAAGCCTGGGAAGGTTTGCAACGGGATGGATTTCGGGTTTCAAGGGTGCATGGTGGAGCAAACTGAGTGATGTGGGTTGCTCTTGAGGTGGGCAACTGTAACACCGCCGAAATGGCAGGTTGGATGGCATGTTCAAAACTGGAGCACGCCAGGGCAACCGCGCTGATCAAGAGAGAAGGCACCGCATCGCCAACGCCGCAGAGTGAGGCGGCCGCTGCTGGGCAGCCAAAGCAGCGCAGGCCGGCCGCCATCACCTCCCTCCCTGCTGCCACGGCATGGCAGCAGCTCTGGGCAGGCTTCACTTGTCGTTGTTGTTGTCGTCAAACGCCTCGCCAGCCGCCTCGCCGTTCTCCTGGAACATCTCGCCGGCCTGCTCGCCGGAGATCTGGCCGGAGGCGACCGCCTGGCCCACGGCAGCCTGCTGCTGGCCCAGTGCCTCGCCCGCAGCGGCGTTGGCCAGCCCCTGCTGCTCGCCCTGGTTCTGGTAGTACTGCACAGAGCAAAGCCAAGGAACAGATGCGGTTGGTGCATGCCCACCTTAAGGTGGGTGCAGGTGTCCTCAGCGCTGGCAAGTCGCCTCGGCTTGCTATTGATGCCGCCCACCAAGCACTGCCGCCACTCCCGGCGACCTCTCCCCCCCCTCCTACCCCTCCCGGCCCATGTCCCTCCCCCATCCCCTCACCTCGTTGTCATTGTCGTTGTTCTCATCGTCCTGCAAACGAAACAAAAATAGGCAGGGAGCAGCCCTGGGCGAGTGGCGGTTTTGAGCGAGAAAACGCGACAGGGCTGCCAGCTAGTGCACAGGCAGCTCAGTCTGCCCGGGAGGTCGCACACCTGGTCGTCGTTGTTGTCCTGGTCGTCAAAGGAGTAGAAATCGCCCCAGACATCTGAAACAGAGGAAATGGAACCGAAAAAACACGCAACGGGTTGGATACCACGTCGCCCATCTCAGAGCGTGGCCGGCAGGCTGCCCCGATTTGAGTGAGCAGATCTGGAAGAGCGCTCGCTCTTTTGTACAAAGCTGACCTCTGCGGCGAGCAAACACACAGGTGCAGCTCAGCTCACCGTCATTGGACTCCCACCAGTCGGCCTCATCCAAGTCGCCCTGCACAGCAGCAAGCACGGAGCGGCGCATGCATGTCGCGTCGGCGGGCAGGCCACGCCCGGGGCTGGCCCCACAGGCGCTGCTGCAGCCGGGCCCTGAGCGGGCAGGCGGCGTGTAAAGCAGCGAGAGTGCAGCATGGCAGCTGATCTCGCAGCGTTGAGCTGGCGGCGCTGACGAGGCTGCCACATGCGAGCTGCCACGGACATGGCCGCCACCCCCATCTGCTGCAACCCACCGTCACAATCTCTCCGTTCACGGCCACAAACTCCACATCCATGTCGTCCACCTGCAGGCAGGCAGGCAGCGGCAAAGACGAGCCAAACGTTTGTGGGGATGGCCTGCCTCCCGCGGGCAGCGCTGCAGCGCCGGCGGGCGAGCCCACACGTGCAAGCTGCAGCGGCAGGGCCTGGGCAGGCTGGGCCGGGCAAGATGGTTCGGTGCCAAAGGTGCAGAAGAAGCACACGGCGGCGGCGGCGCCGTAGGGGAGCAGCAGCGGGGGGGCTCACGTTGATGTAAGAGGAGTAGGTGTTCACGTCAACAGTCATGCCCAGGGTCACCTCGTCGCCATCGGTGGTGGCGGAGGGGCAGGTGAAGTTGACCTGGAGGGCGTAGTTGGTGCCTTCGCCGGCGGACTGCGGGCGGGCGCGAGGGAGGCAGGCAGCGTAACTTACGTGGGTGGGGGTGGGTGGGTGGCAGGGAAGG